ATGAATCCTTGCTTATATGCACACCACATGTAGTTACCTGCTTTAGGGTTTCTATTGCTGTGAAGAGACACCATGACTATGGCAACTCCTACAAAGGAATACATTTAATTTGGGCTGGCTCACAGTTCAGAGATTCAGTCCATTATCATGGTGGGAAGCATGTCAGTGTGCTGCTAGACGTGGTGTTGGAGAGGTAGCCGAGAGCTCTACATCGATCCACAGGCAGCAGGAAGAAAGAGACACACTGGGCCTAGCTTGAGCATCTGAAATCTCAAAGCTGGTCCTTGGTGGCACACATTTCCTTCAAGACCACACCAACAACAAGGTCATACCTAATAGTGCCACTCCCTATGGACTTCTGGGGGACATTTTCTTTCAAACCATTACATATCCCATGGACCAGAAGTGATGTGTTGACCCTGTACAACTTCAGCCTTGACAACAAATCACTGGAGCTGTGGGTGACTGAGAAGGCCCACTACTTCAATACTAGCTGACAGGCCAGTGGTTGATGGACTAAAGGACACAAGAAGGGGAGGGAGAAGTACCAGAGTTAACCCATATCCTCACTGCCAGGACACTCATTCAGTCCTAACACAATCCTAAGTCAAACTGCAATGTGTTTGTCTATTTTTTAGAGTTTGCTGATATTTCTTTAGGCTGCTGGATCTGCTAGAAGAAAATATGGAGGTAGAGGTTCACTTCATTTGCAAGATACCATACTCACTGGCGTCTTATACAGAGCCAGCTCCATGCACCTAGAACCCCTTCAGAAGTGAAGGTTCATGCAAGAGGGATGGTGTGGATCTGCACAGGCAACAGGAAGGAGAGGAGAGTCTAAGGTTCCAAAAAGCATGAACATTTGTATTTCCATGTGATGGCCACATTAGCCTTTGAGATTTGCAGGCTAGAATAAGTACTATTGACAACCCAAGACTGTAAGGGACCCTAAAGGCTAGAACCAGCAATGGGTTGGAGAAAACGGAGATGGGTTAATACTGGACTAAACTGGGAGCTGAGACATGTCCAGGTGACCAGTGAACACAGGAGCACCCACACTGTTTCTGGATGTCACAGGTGCTGAATACATTCCTGATGGTTCTGCACCTCCAGGGCTGCTTGGTAAGGTCTTCCTAGGCAGAAGGCACTCCTGGCCCCTGCTGAATGAGCTAATGGCAAGCACAGGATGGCCTGAGATCCTGAATAGCAACTTTAAGACCCTACTGATGTCTTCCTGGCTGAGATGGAAAAAGTGAGGGACTGTGGACATCAGTGCTGGTGGGTTATAGGCCTGTTTATGTAGCCAGTAATGTGGCACCTGGGCTGCCTGAAAACAATAAAACAATTAGGGAACTTCTTATGTCCCTGAGCCCACTGTCTGCCTTGCCCAGGACAGGAGGAACCCCAAGAGCAACTTCAGTGATAATCTGTTTGTGGTTGCTGACCTGTGAAGCAGGAATCGTAGCCACCTGACCCTGCTAGCTTAGATATGTGGTGTAAGGCTGGGGTTAGAGGTAAGAGTATGGTTACAGTCCCAGAGTTGTGTGACACATGTGGCTCCTAACAACTGGCTTGATCCAGATTTCTACAGAAGTGATGGGCATCTTTCTCACATGGATCAGCCCTCAACACAGAGATAAAAGAATGTTGGGTGAAGACTTTACTACTATGTTGAGGGAATATGCTCTCCAAGCCATGTACAAAAGGAGACTGGTGGTATCATGGGGCAGGTGTGGTCTCCACACATGACATACCAGGCTGGCATGCTCTTTACTACTGCTGTAATCCATAAGTGCAGCACTTTGGAGGTAGAATACCAGTGAATTTGTCCCATCTGTCATCTTATGAAATTGAAGTATAGGGCTTCCTCATCCCCAAATTAGGCATGGACTCTCCTCCCCAGCATAGGCACACCAAATAAAGGCTACCTGGTTCTGGATTCCCGGCATTCTGATATGAGTGCATCTACACTGTAGCCATTGCTGACAGAGTCTCCAGGAAGTGAGACGACAAAGCAAGTGATGGATGATTGTAGAAAGCACACAGGGCTGGGCAAGAACTACAGGGCTCTTCTAAGGTGGCAAGATGCCTTTAGGGGCAGAATGTATGCATATGAACTTGGCAGCTAGGATCTTGGTATTCCCATCGGCCTCAGGTTCATACCCTGTGTCTCCTGCTGGGACATAATCACCAACATGTCAGTGGTGCTGAACACTTCGGGGATCCCAGGGCCACTTTATGAGGCACAGCCTTCATGTCACTCTTAGCAGGTGTCTGTGATGTGCCTGTATCGCTGTGCCTTTTCCAGGGTGTCTTGGAGGATGGAGCCAGATTCTAGGGTGATTGAGCCCTACACTCACTCCCAGGCTGGCTTCGCATGCCTTGGGGAGCTCCTGTCTAACATGAAGCCCTTCCTTTAGTTTTTTGGTACCCTTTGGATAGCCCCAGCATAGTGACAATGGCATCTTCACATTTCCCGTTAGCCCAAGCCCCTTCTAGCTCTGTACAATTGTACACTAGCAGGGATACTAATTTCAGATTGATGTACAATAAACAAGTCTTAAGATGGCCATTTGATCTGGACTGTAGCCATTGCTACAGTGGTGGTGGTATATGCCTTTATCCCAGTACTCAGGAGGCAGAGGCAGACCGATCTCTGAGTTCAAGGCTATCCTGGTCTACAGAGTTCCAGGACAGGCTCAAAAGCTACAGAGAAACCCTGTCTCAAAAAAAAAAAAATTGGTTTCTTGATCTGAACTCAGTCCTTGTCTACTGTGTTCTCAGACAACAAGCTACAACCAACCCTTACCAACTATGTCATCCCCCTACAACTGTGTGGATGCTATGAAAAAGAGTACTAAGGCATACTCATGCACATTCAGCAGAATACTCTAAGTGCTAATGGCAGATGTATAAAGAATTCAACAACAACCTGCATGTCAATGACAATAACATAAAAATAAAAGGAGGAAGGAAAAATAGAAAGGGATACCTGTGCTGATGTTCAGCAAGTGCCAGCTAAACCCGTATCACACATAGACACCCATCAGTGGCTGCTGGGTTAGTGAGCAATGGCTACAGGCAGAAGTCAAGACTAGGCAAAACAAAGTAGTTTGTGTGTGTGTGTGGGCGCATGCGTGCTTGTGTGTGCAGTTTCTGTTTGGATGACAGATATTGTTGGTGGTAGTCCCTAAGACCCTGAGATGTCACAAATTGCTGAAAGGACTCACAATTACAAAACTTGCTGTCCTTAAGGGTAAAGAGGAAAATCTGCAGCAGTAAAAGTTGACAAGACAACAGAGAGATAGCACGTTCCTTGCTGTCCTGACTGAAGATATCTATCCAGACAGGAGCATGCTTCCAGCAACCCATGTGACAGTAGTAAGAGTCACTGGGAAGTTCAAAAGTCTTAAGAGTCCTGAAAGTTTGGGGTTTGGTAGGGATAGGAATAGGGAGGACATTTCTGGAGATATGGAGCACTCCACAGGGCTAACTTTGGTCTCCTTACCCTCTGAGGTCAGACTTCACCATCCCAAGACTGTGTCCTAAACATAATACCATGACTCACAGCTCAGACTTTTTTTTTTTTAATTCTTACCTCCTGGACACAAGTAAAGGTTAGACATCTCACCATAGTGGTACCTCAAGAATCAGACATATCAGACATTTATTTTGGAATGTGCAGGATCAACTCCCCAAGCTGAGTTAACTGTCTTGTGTGGACCACCCTCCTTGCTTCCTGTAGGAGTAATAACATAATTTTGGCTTCTGTCTTCTTCCCCTATTTTCTGGTGCTGGAACCAAGTCCTCATATGCAGCAGGATCCTACCAGTGAACTGACCTCCCAGGCTCACTGTGTTAGTTTTGGGGAGTTCTGACCAAAATGCTTGAAAGAACAACTCAAGTAGGGAAAGATTTGTACATCATCACTCTAATGCATTTGCTTGGACAGGACACCAAAAATAGCCAGAGCATATGCATCAGGAGACTGTTAAAAATGTGCAGGACAGGAATTTAGACCCAATGCTGTCAAGTCCATTGGTAATATGCAATCACTCTCACTATCGATCCACAGATTCCATCTTCAGCACTGAAGCTCTAGGTCAGAGAGGTGGCTCAGCCGGTAATGACACTTGTTGCACAAGACTGGAGACCTGAGTTTGATCCCAGAACTCATGTAATGGTAGCAAGAAAGAACCAACTTCGTGAAATTATTCTCTGAACACCACATGTGTTCACAAGTGAAGCACACACACAATGTAAAAGGAAAATTTTAAAGCTCTATTCATAGACAATAGCACTCTACCAAGCTGCTAACAACCACAGTGTTTCTATAAATTTGCATAGTGGTATCCCACATTTTTCATTTGTATGGATGGCTTATTTCAACCTGGGTTCATTTATGCTGTATGTAGCTGATGTTTGGCAGCATTTGTGATCTCTATATTCCATATGAATTTTGTGAATTTTGGAATCTTGTAGGAATCCTATTAGATCCTATTGAATAACAGACCCCTTCCCAGAATTTCTGTCCAAGGCATGATCAATAAAGCAAACCTTCCTGTTTTAATGTTCTCTTTAAATTTTTATTTCTTGCCAGGGATGGTGGCACATGCCTTTAATCCCACTAATTGGGAGAGAAAGGCAGGCAGATTTGTGGATTCTAGGCCAGCATAGTCTACAGAGCAAGTTTCAGGACAGCCAGAGCTACAGAGAAAAACTGTCTCACTCCTGCAAGCGTCCCCCCCCCAAACAAAGCCAACACAAGAACAAAAATAAATTTTACTTCTTCGGTGCATTACATTTATATATTATCCAGTCAATTCTGATGATTCTTACAGGTTACTATACATATATTTTATTCTCTCTGTCTCTGTCTCTTTCTCTCTCTCTCTTTCTCTCTCTCTCTCTCTCTCTCTCTCTCTCTCTCTCTTGCACGTGTGTGCGTGTGTGTGTGTGTGTGTGTGTGTGTGTGTGTGTGTCTACTTCAGAAGGGAACAAATGCACGTGTATGCAATTACTCATTTCCTCTGGCAAAAGCCAGAGGTCAAAGCTGAATGTCTTCTTCAGTTCTCCTCCATCTTATTTATTGAGACAGTGTTTCCCTGATTTGGAACCTACTCATTGAGCTAGACTGGCTGGCCAGCAACTGAGCACCCTGCCTCTTCTGCCTCCCTAGCACTGGGATTGTCCAAGTGGTTGGCAAGTCCAGATGATTGGGAATGAATGCATGTCCTCATGCTTACATGGCAAGCACCATACTGTGAGAGCCACTGCCCTGCCCTAAAATACTTAGTCTTTTGTTGCTATTTTATACATAATACTGCTTCTCATTTGATTCTCAGATGGTTCATCATTAAAGAACAAACCAGTGGTTTTCATGTGTTAACTTGGTATCTTTGCTGAATTTCATGTTCTCTTATGATATTGTGAAACCTTCCCTATTTCCTATATACACAACTAAATAATGTGTGATCAAGGATTATGGTCCTTCCTCCTACCTGGGATGCACAGTCTCAAGTGAGTGAGCTGTGACAAAAGTCTCACAGACATGCCCACACTTCTACTATACTCAGAACCAAGAGCCTCAATTGTGCCCACCATATTCCATTTGAGTTCATGTTTTCATGAGACTGATGACCCTGCCCCACCCACATAGGAAACAACAACACAGGAGAACATGATTCATTGGCTGCTGGCCTTTGCCCTACACCCTGCCCTCTTGAACTCTAGTTTTTGTGACCAGAAATCATGGATATATCTAGGTTCCAGAACAGTTTCATCCCACTGATAACTACCTCTACATCTTGGGAAGTTGAAATTGTGGTTGGTTCAGTGTCATGATCTAGCTCAACAGTCTCCTTTGTTTTCATTTTTGGAATAAACATCATATATCATCCAGGAATTATATATGAGGTTGGTTCTTAGTATTTTACATATGTCAAGCATAGGTTCTGTGGTTTGTGATTCCATAGGTAACATTCTATCAACCATAAGGGGTGAAGTAACCATCTGGGTATGAGAGCCTCACCAACACCAAACAATGCCAGGCCTTCCTTTGCACAAATAAACTTTCCCAAGACAGCACTCTCCGAGTCACAGTCACCCCAGTGAGCCACATCACTCTTAACAAACTGACTGGATTTGTTCATCACACCATGGCTAGGGAAAGAAAGCACAGACCTAGGAATGGCTCCAGACTCACTGTTGGTCTTCACTTCAAGGAACCCAGGCAGTTGAAGCCAGGAAAGGTAAATGGCACACAGGACAGAGTCCAGGAGAAACATGCCCAGGTTCCATTTGGCCTCTTCCAGTGGAGTCCAAAGGACAGTGATTATCTGTTGACATGTGTACAGAGAATTGCAAATCTGGAAACACCCATGAGTCCTGATGACCAGGGACTCTGTTCCAGCTTGCTGTTGCAGACATGGCACACCTGTGCAGCTGACATGAATACCAAGACCCCAGTCCCCCAGGAAGCCACACTGATCCTGACAGGGCACAATTGTTCACATGGCTGAGGAGGCTTGGACTGAGGATGAAGGGAAGCAAACAGTGCTAGTAGGCAGATGTTTACCAGAGCATCCAGGTTATCTCCCAAGAGCTGGTGACAGACCAGGGAACACTTTACAACATACAGTGTGTGACATCTAGTACCTGTTCAGTGCACTTACCTCGCGGGTCCTCACTTGGCCTGAAGCAGGAAAATCATGCTTGGGTTGACCCATCCCACTCTGGGGCCAGCACCCAATCAGCACAATTACTTCTCTTTAATGATGTCATACATGACACACAGGAGAGAGGTGGAGACCTGAAGAATAGCAGAAAGTGTGACACCTAACATCCAGGTTTAACATGGCTTCAGAAGTTACCCTGGGAGGGTCTTGGGGGTAAATCAGGAGAAAGCCACCAGCTTGAGCCAATCAGTAACCAGAGCACAGTTGTGTCTGTCCCTCCACTCCTGACTGTAATGCAAACTGGTGCCCTGACTCCCATTCAGGCCTGCATCCAGGCCAAGTTGGAACTAGAGAAAGACCCTTGTCTGTGCCGCAACATAAGGTGCCATCGTATGTAAATGGGTTGGAGAGGACCAAGAGCCAGGAACAGGAACAGGGAGCAGACTTGAGGCCTTCAAGCCAGCTATAAGCATGGAATCCCCATGGGCTCTGGTGACATAGACGTGAGTGGCAGGGCAGCTGAGAGGAGGAGACCCAGTGTCTAGTCCTTGCTGAGATGCTGCAAACAGTGCTAGAGATGGACTCAGCTCATCTCTAGCTGAGCTCCTGCCTCCCTTCTGCCACACTGGATGGTACTGCAAAGAGTCCCAGCCTGCATTCCACTGGGATTTCTGAGACTTTGCTCTTCAGAGGTCTGGATCCCCAACAAGGACAGGGACTGTGCCTTTGCTGACGCTAGAGAGTTGGCATGTGCAGTCTGACCAGCAGTGCCCACCATAATAGTACCCTTTGTTGAGAGGCTCAGGAGTAATCTTTCCATTTTCCTCATGGCTACCCATGCTAACCACAGGCCTCTGGAATGAGGAGGACACTGCTTACATACCTCATGTGGAAGATTGTTGCAGAAGAGATTGGTCCACCAGGAAACAAATGATGAATGAAAGACTGAGACCACCATGTGACAGTCCCCAACCTAACCTCATAGCCTCCACTCTCTGACAGTTGTTAACACTTTCTCAGCTTTCTCAGATCTGATGGACGACATGCACAAGTTCTGAGTCTGCCTTCCATATCAACTTGCCTACCTCAAACCTGTCCACAAGACTCCACAGGCTGCAGCCAAAAAACTAATCAGTGGCACTTGCTGTCACAGTCAGCTGGTATATCCTGCAGTTTCTGGAAGGTTCTTGTGCCCTGCCACCTAAATGGTCCTTGAGTCTACAGGTCAGTCTTACCCCAGTGTGTGGCAATGTTCACAAGTCCCTCAAAACTCTGCTTGTGTAGCATGAGAAAGACACCCTCTCCATCCCTACTATGATAGATGTAGACCCAGGGCTCCACCCACCAAGAAGCAAAGAGAAAATGAAATCAGACACAAGGGCCTCCCTGTGACAAGCACCTGGGCATCCTGCTGGCCTCCCCAGGATGCTCTTGACACTTGTAGACAGTTTTTCTGCTTTCTCAGATCAGAGCTAAGAGGTGCCCAGGCTGGGAGGTTGGCCTTCCTTGTGAGTAAGTGACTTCACACCTGTACTCTTAGCTTCCAAGGATAGACCTGCCTTCCCCACACTGCCTCTCACTCACCATCATTGGTTAGCCACTCAAGCCACTTCAGTGGCCCTTGCTGCACAGTGATAGTGCCTGCAAAGCCAGTCACACCTCAAGTCCTACTAGCCAAGTGTTCAACAGAGCCTCAACAACTTTAGATCAATTCTGAGTCAATGTCCTTAGGCCCCTCAGAGCTCTGCCTATGTGGCATATTGCTGACTGACTTCTCTATACCTTGTGATCCTTCACCTTGAGGCAGGGTTCACTGGTCATCTGCCCACTGTGTTCACAGTGCCCAAACATACATGACCACTGTATTCAGCTCCCTGTGGAGAAACTGAGCATCTCCCATGGATAAGCACCCGAGGAAAGAAGAAAGTGTGGAAACCTATGAGACTGATTTTCCCTGTCCTTTTTTCACCCCTCCCTGCACACCCTGGCTGAACAGTAAACACAGCTACTTGGCTCAAAGCAGAGAACAAAGTGCAGCCTTCTCCCTTTCATAAGGGATCAGGTGCCCAGTGTGTCCTCAGAGTGACTTTCCTGATTTTGGGTGTCTAGAGCAGGTGTCCCCCAAACAGTCTGGAAAGCAGTGGGGCAGCCATGGCACTGCTGATTGGAGATGGCCTGTGGTCTGTGGTCATATTCACGACCATCTTCCTGCTTCTGGTGGACCTGATGCACCGACGCAAGTTCTGGGCTGCCCGCTACCCTCCAGGTCCTGTGCCACTTCCTGGGCTGGGCAACCTGCTGCAGTTGGACTTTGAGAACTTGACATACAGTTTTTACAAGGTGAGAGATGGTGGTGGGGGACAGTAGATGTCATGATGCCCCTACCAGCACATTGTGGTACTGAAGCCACAGGGTAGACAGGAAGATGGCCCCCAAGAGGAAGGAGGTTCAATGGTTTCCTCACGGCAGCTACTCCTGTGCCTGAGGACACTGTGGACTAAGAGCAGAGGCACAGTGTGGAAAGACCATGGAGACAGGCATGGAGTATGGTTGGACTACAGGGCATAAGTCAGGGAGGCCAGCTCAGGTCCCATGAGATCCCATCAGTGGATGAGTTCTCAGGAACAGGGACGTGGGGTGGGCATCAGAGTCCAGTGTAGCCTGTCAGTCAGCAAAGCAGAGCTGGGAGAGCGGCTGTGTGAGCTATAATCTCTTGCTGCTGGGTGGTCTCAGGCCTTGCTGCCCATCTTGGGAACCTGAATTCCCTCTTGTATGGAGAGGTATGAAGGGGACAAGGACCTTGCTCTGGCAAGGCCACCGCTGAATGACCATATCTACTATGAAATCTTTGATGGATTTAGAGGATGGCATTGACATCACAAGGTCCCATACCTCAGTTACAGATGTATGTCAGTGATAGAGCATTTGACCAGCATAGGGCAGGACCAAGGCTCAATAATGAATACCATAAAAAGGAACATATGTTTGTACACACACACACACACACACACACACACACACACACACGTTGAGGTTGGATCTTTCATTCTGCAGGGAACCTCTACTTCCTAAGTGCTCTATCTCTCTACTTCAGCTTCGACAGCGCTATGGAGATGTGTTCAGCCTACAGATGGCCTGGAAGCCTGTGGTCGTGGTCAATGGACTGAAGGCGGTGCGGGAAGTGCTGGTGAACTGTGGAGAGGACACTGCTGACCGCCCTCCAATGCCCATCTTAAAACACCTGGGCTATGGGAACAAATCAAAAGGCAAAGAGCTTTAGTGGGGACAAGGCAGAGAGAATAGGGCTTGAGGAGCAGTGAACAGAAGATAGACAGGGCCTAACGGAGGGGGTGTGGTCACGCAATGGAAGGACAGTCACTGAAATGGAGGGTGGAGCCTCCAAAATGGCAAGTACTCATATGTGGTAGCAAAGTGCTGGGCACTGATGGCTAAGACTGGCCACAGGGAAATACTGGGAGAAGAGGAGACAGCATACCCAAGTATCCTTGGTTACACAAGATGTCCCTGAAGGTGTGGCATTAGCACCTGATGGACCCGAGTGGAGAGAGCAGCGTCGATTCTCTGTGTCTACCATGCGAGACTTCGGCATGGGCAAGAAATCACTGGAGCAGTGGGTGACAGAGGAGGCTGGTCACCTCTGTGATGCCTTCACCCAGGAGGCAGGTAGGTGACGGGTTAGAGATGGAGATGGGGCAGGCACTTATGAGCAATATCATGACTTTCTTCTATCTCTTCTCCTAGGACATCCCTTTAATCCCATCACCCTCCTGAATAAAGGTGTATGCAATGTGATTTCATCCCTCATTTTTGCCCATCGCTTCGACTATGGAGACCCTTTCTTCAAGAGGCTGCTCAAGACATTACAGGAAAGTTTTGGAGAGGACACTGGCTTCATTGCTGAGGTGTGAGGATCAGGGCAGTGTTTATGGCAACTGCTGTGCTGTAAAGGCCATCAGATGAAAGTGCATTCAGGGTGCATAGGGAGAGGGCCTTGTGTGAGAGTCAAATGCAGGGGGAAAGGCCTGGACCTTGGCAAACCTCAGATAACAGGAGGGGAGGGGTGGACGAAGGCCAAGGGCTCTAGAAATGGGGTGAACCTCTACCCATTATCTACACACAAACTACACAAGCCTGTTAGATTTACAGATAGAAAAGTCATTTTGTTCACCCTGGGCAATAAGACAACCTACAGGCTGGAACTGAGGAAGAATCAGGTTATGGGAGAGGCAGTCTATGAGTCCTTTGTGGAAGAGGCTGGGATCTAAGACTGGTCCATGTGAAGTTGAGCAGTTACTGCATCCAGGGACAAGAGAGATAGATGGTCTATGTGTAAATGAGCTTTCCAAGCAAGCCTGGGACCCATGTAGGAGACAGATCTTACTGTAAAAGTTGTTCTCTGACTATCAAACAGGAGCCATTGTTAATGTGTGAGAGTGCACATGCAGGCATGCACAGACAGACTTCCGGACACACACCCCCAAATTAATTTTAATTAGGAATAAAAGCTACTACACCTACTCTGTTTCTTTCATAGGTACTCAACACAGTCCCAGTGCTCCTCAGCATTCCTGGGATATCGGACAAAGCCTTCCCCAAGCAGAAGGCATTCATGGAGTCCCTGGATAAGATGTTGGTTGAGCACAAGACAACCTGGGATCCTGCACAGCCACCACGACACCTGACAGATGCCTTCCTGTCTGAAGTGGAGAAGGTGAGGACAGCCATAAAGGAGGGGGTCAGGTCCTTTGGGCTGCATTGGACTATGAGTTGTGATGCCTGGCCAGTTGTGTTTATATGTCACCCATGGACTCAACACCTAGGGTGCATGAACACAATGGTACACAATTTTGTCCTTACTCCCCGTGTCCCTGAGCCTAACATTTTTGTCTGACACAGGCCAAGGGGAACCCTGAGAGCAGCTTCAATGATGAGAACCTGCGCATGGTGGTGGTTGACCTGTTCACTGCGGGGATAGTGACCACGTCAACCACACTGTCCTGGGCCCTGCTCCTCATGATCCTGCACCCGGATGTGCAGAGTGAGCCTGGCTGGGGCTGGGAGGGAGCATGAGGAAAGAAAGATAGAAGTCCCTGAGAAGCTGGTGGCTCCAGCATCAGCTTGACCCAGACTCCCACAATTCTGATGGGAGTCCTAACTCATGGATTAACACAAGGAAGGTTATGGAAGAGTCACCAAGGAACTGCTTCACTGAGGAGATGCTGTCTCTCCAGGCCGTGTTCAACAGGAGATTGATGATGTCATAGGGAAGGTACGGCATCCAGAGATGGCAGACCAGGCCCGCATGCCCTACACGAATGCTGTCATTCATGAGGTGCAGCGATTTGGAGATATTGTCCCAGTGAATTTACCACATATGACGTCCCGTGATGTTGAAGTACAGGGCTTCCTCATCCCCAAGGTATGCATGGGCACCCTTGTCACAGGATCACAACCAGGCAAACAAAGGCTGTAAGACCAAGACCACCACATCCTGAATTTCCACATGGTGAAGGGAACAACTTAAGTGTTAGTACATCACAGCCATTACCCAGGATTCCCCAGTGAGGGGGGATGTCCAGTGAAATAAGCCTCAGTGTATTTCAGGGAACACTGCAGGTTCTATTTGGGTACTTATGGTAGTTTTCTCACAGGGCCTTGAATGGTTCCAGAAAAGGCACTGAGAGGCTCTGAGTTTGAGGTGAATAAAAGAATCCTGTGTGTGCAGGAAGAGTTTGTGTATGTGGTCATGGTAACCAGGGTATTGGCAGCCCCACCCAAGTCTATGTTCACACATGTGCCTCCTGCCAGGGGACGACCCTCCTCACCAACCTGTCCTCAGTGCTGAAGGATGAGACTGTCTGGGAGAAACCCTTCCACTTCCATCCTGAACACTTCCTGGATGCCCAGGGCTGCTTTGTGAAGCATGAGGCCTTCATGCCATTCTCAGCAGGTGCTGTGGGGTGCCTGGCTCCATGTCTCTTCCCAGGGTGCCTTGGGGGGTGGAGCATCAACCAGGCCCCAGACTGACTAAGCTTCTTTCCCACCCACAGGCCGCAGAGTATGCCTGGGGGAGCCCCTGGCCCGCATGGAGCTCTTCCTCTTCTTCACCTGCCTCCTGCAGCGCTTTAGCTTCTCGGTGCCTGATGGACAGCCTCGGCCCAGCGACCAAGGCATCTTCACATTGCCAGTTACCCCAGTCCCCTATGAGCTCTGTGCAGTCATGCGCTAGCAAGGACAGCAGCTCCATCCTTCTCCCCAGCTTGTGCTGCATGATGTCCAATAAACCAGACCTGTGGCTGCCACTCAGATTCCTGGACCTTCCCCATCCTTGTCTCCACTGTGTCCCAAGACCACAGTCTACAACCAGTCTTTCCCCTCCTCCTCAGACCTCCCCTATGAGCAACTCAGTGCTGTGAGGAAAGTGTTTACTGAGCCAAGAACAGTGGCACAGGCCTGCAGTATAGTTTGGGAGAGGCTGAGGCAAGAAGATTTCAAGTTCAAGGCCAGCCTGGGCTATATAACCTGATTACTCAAGGAGATCCTTTCTCAAACAAAGGTGTTGAGTGCAGGTTGTCAGGAGGGGATATAGAGACCCAGGAGGGAAGGAAAGGGACAATGAGAGGGGGAAGCATTGTGACAAAGTAGGAAGAGAGGTGGCTGTGCTGGTGCTCAGTGATTGACCCTAGGTCACACAGAAAAACCCATGGATGGATGCTGGCTTAGGGACAAACCACAGACAGAAGTCAAGACTCACTGGTTCTTGAGGAAATGTGAATGGCTTGAGCTGGAAATCAGCACAATTCTTGTTTTGGGGACAGATGTTGGTCTAGGTCCCCAAAACCCTGGAGTGCCACAAATGGTAAAGAGGCTCAGGCTTGCTGCAGTGAAAGGATGCAAGAGAAAATCTACTGTATCAAAGGTGATGATTCAGAATCCAGGAGGGTGGGCAGGATCCTGCTGTCCTGTCTGGGGCCATCTCTCTAGACCAAGGAGATTGCTCCCGGCAAGCACTGGGACAGATACAATGGGTATTACTCACTAGCAATGTTCAAGAATCTTGGAGTCTTGAAAATTTGCAGGCTTATTGGAGTCAAGCAGACTGTTCTGCAGGCATGGAACACATCTCCAGGCTCATCTCAGTCTCTATATAATCAGATGCCAGACAGCAGCATCTGAAGACCTCAACCTTCATAGTATGCCTTGAGACACAGTTGTGTACAGACACTCATTTTGGTTTTGGTTTGTAACAAAGAAAATGTTCTTCCATTGAGTCTCTGTCATAGGAACATTTGAGAAGCTCCCCACAGCCCTCCAGCAGTAGACCTTTACTTTTGGGATGTACAGGATCAGTCACCAAGCTGGAGTCACCACTTCACTGATGCCTTCCTTGCTACCTACAGGAATAACTACATCATTTTCCCAGTGTCTCCTCTTCTTCTCCCCCTCCCTTTATTTTTATTGCATATGCATGGACACTTGTCTACATGTGTGCAGTGCCCAAAGATGATGGGAAAGGGTATGGGATCTCCAGGAACTTGCATTGGAGTTAGCTGTAAATCTCCTATGGGTGCTGGGAATTAAGCCTGTGTCTGTAGGAAGAGACCCAGCTCTTCACTGTTCAGCCATCTCTATAACCCTCCTTCCCACTTTTAATGGTGCTGGAAGGTCTTCCTCTCGCCTGAGGCAATGTCCTGTAGTTCCCTTGTGTGACCTGTCACATGAGTGACTTTCCTAGGACCCTGGAATCAGGCCTAACTAGACATCTGTGCCCCATGCTACGTTCTTAGCCTAGCATAGTACAGTGCCTGTGGTGTTGGCTCCCACATCCCAATGCCCTCCACTGAGTAAGCACCTGGGGAGGGAAGAAGAGGTGGGACGGACGCAAACCTTCCTAGATTGCTCTGGCCCCTCATGACACTCTGACTGAAGAGAAAGCACAGGAGCTCAATCAAGGCCGAGGACAAAGGACAGACAGCCTTGCTTACTTTATTTAGGAGCAGATGCTAGGTTTCAGGAAGAGGTCTCCTTGCTGATCTTAGGTGGCTGTGGTGGTTGATGTAGGGTGTTTCAGAAAGCCCTGGAACAGTGATGCGCCCATTAGTCAGCTGACTGGAGATGAACTGTGGCCTCTGGTCATATTCATGGCCATCTTCCATTACTGGTGGACCTGATGCATTGATGCAAGTTCTGGAATTCCAGCTACTTTCCGGGCCCTGTGCCACAACTGGGCATGGTCTTGCAGAACATGGGGTACCGTACACACACACACACGCATACACGCACGCACACACGCACGCACACAAGCACGCACGCACACACGCACGCACACATGCATGCGCATTGCAATTAAGGGCAACAGAGATCACAGCACCTCTAGCAACACACAGTGATCCCTCAGGGAGCTGGGGTCCCACGAAGCAGACTTTGTAGCTTCCTGGCAACAGGTCTGTGGGGTCTGAGGACACTTCGAACTTTCTTAGTGCAAGGTGTGAATGAAAGTCTGGAAGGTGGAGCAGGACATGGGAGTTGGTAGGTGGTATGTAAAAGAGTCAGAAATAATTGGAATTTTCTTTGGGCCGATCTCCAGCACCCAAATAAAGACATGGAGACTTATTATTCATTATGAATGCTTCACCTTACCTTATGCTTGTCCCACTAGCTCTTTTTTTTTAAAAAAAACTTAACTCTGTTTCTATAGCCACATCTATGCTCTCCATGCTCCCACAGGAAGCTGTGTGTCAAGGCTGTGGGAGAGGCCCTCTGGGAGTCAACTTCAGGAGGAAAAGCCTCCAGCATGACAATCCTGTGAGAGCAGCAGGGGAGAAGTAGACCAAGGTCAGGTTTCTAGAAAGGGAAAGAACCTATGTCCTCTGTCTAAGTGGAAGTCACTCAATTCTGTGAGATTGTTTTATTTTTTCACCCTGGGCTGCAAAAAGCCTAAAGGCTGGAACTGAAGAGGAGGCAGGTGAAGAATTAATCCAATTAATCTTAATCAATAAAAAATTAAGATTCAAATATTGGGATAAAAACCCGGAAGATGAGAGAACCAATAACAGCCACCAGTGACTTCCTACCTCTGCGATTCCTCTGACCAAAAGGCTCAAAACCCTTTCTCTGCTCCACCTTACTGTCTCCTGTGTCCTCTCAATAGCCCTCCAAACCTCTATGTGTAACTAGTGGCTGCTTCCTCCCTGTGACTCCAAGCTAGCTTTATTTGTCAGAACACAATCAAAATATCATACATCATTTCTCTCTTTTGTCTAAATAAAAAGTGAAAGTTTTAACTAACAGTAAAACTATATACAACAAGCACGATAATTATATAAAAATGCATACAAGTGAGAATTACATTACCAGTGTCTAGCCCATTTGCATTTGAAAAATTCTGAGAAAATACTCCATTATCTATTCTATCTTGGTGAGTTCAAAGTGTTGTACCTAATTCACTTTCTATCCTAATTTGCATTACCAACCCAAAACAATCTTTTTATGTCCTAGCTGGCACCCACATTCTGAGGGCTTGGTTTGATCCAATGCTGGTTACCCAGATTTACAACTGGGGTCTGTGTGCTCTCACTTGGTCAGGTCAGCTTTTTCTGTGGGCTTCTACAGCACGGTCTTGACCCCTTTGCTCATCCCTCCTCCCTCTCTATAACTTGATTCCAGGAGTATGGCTCAGTGTTTAGCTGTGAATCTCTGCTTCTGCTTCCATCAGCTACTGGATGAAGGCTCTAGGATGGCATTTAAGGTAGTCATCAATCTCATTATAGGAGAAAGGTATTTAAGGTAGCCTCTCCACTATTGCTTAGATTCTTAGTTGGGATCATCCTTGTGGATCTCTGAACATTTCCCTAGTGCCATATTTCTCTTTAAACCCACAATGGCTCCCTCTATTATGATATCTCTTGTCTTGCTCTCCTCTATTCTTCCCCCAACTCAATCTTCCTCATGTCTTCCTCTCCCCTCCTTTTATCTCCTTCTCTTCTTCCTACCTCTCTCCCCCTCCCTCCATGCTTCCAATTTGCTCAGGAGATCTTGTTCCTTTCACGTTCTCCAGGGGACCATGTATGTCTCTCTCAGGGTCCTTCTTGTTTCCTAGCTTTTCTAGAGGTGTGGATTGTAGGCCGGCAGTCCTTTGCTCTATGTCTAATATCCATATATTAGTGAGTACATACCATGCTTGTATTTCTGTGACTGAGCTACCTTACTCAGGATGATTTCTTCCAGTTCTACCCATTTGCTTGCGAATTTCAAGATTTCATTTTTTTTTCTCCCACTGAGTAATACTCCACTGTGTAAATGTACTACATTTTCTCTATCCATTCTTCAGTTGAGGGGCATCTAGGTTGCTTCCAGATTCTGGCTATTACAAACAACGCTGCTATGAACATAGTTGGACAGATATCCTTGTTGTATGAATGTGTATCCTTTGGTTCTATGCCCAAGGGTGGAATTGCTGGATCTTGAGGTAGACTGGTTCCCATTTTCCTGAATAACCACCATACTGATTTCCAAAGTGGCTGCAAAAGTTTGCACTCCTACCAGCGATGGAGTAGTGTTCCTCTTTCTCCACATCCTCTCCAGCATAAACTGTCATTGGTGTTTTTGATTTTAACCATTCTGGCAGGTTGTAAGATGGTGTCTCAGGGTTGTTTTGATTTGTATTTCCCTGATGGCTAAGGATGTTGAGCAATTTCTTAAGCGTCTTTCAGCCATTTTAGATCCTATATTGAGAATTCTGTATTTAGTTCTGTACCCCACTTTTTAATTGGATTATTTTATGTTTTGGTGACTAGCTTCTCGAGTTCTTTGTATATTTTGGAGATCAGCCCTCTGTCAGATGTGGGGTTGGTGAATATCTTTTCCCATTCTGTGGGCTGCCGTTTTGTCTTGTTGACTGTGTCCTATGTCTTACAGAAGCTTCTCAGTTTCATGAGGGTCACATTCATTAATTGTTGATCTCAGTGTCTCTGCTATTGGAGTTATGTTCAAGAAGTGATGTCCTGTACCAATTTATTCAAGGGTACCTCCTATTTTCTCTTCTAAGAGGTTCATTGTGGCTGTATTTATGTTGAGGTCTTTGATTTATTTGGACTTAAGTTTTCTGCATGGTGATAGATACGGATCATTCTGTAGTCTTCTACATGCCAGCATCCAGTTATACCAGCACCATTTGTTGAAGATTCTTTCTTTTTTCCATTGTATAATTTTAGTTTCTTTGTCATAGAA